CCCTCCTTCCTGCACCTCTTGATTTGAAAACAATAGAACACCGTTCGGGAGCCCTGTCGTTTTCTAAACGGGGACGTGGCCTTCTAGGTGGCCAGCGTTCTCCTCCGTCCGGCAAGATTGTCTCTGGCTTAACGAAACGTTCCTCTCTTTTTTTGGGAAACCTCACTCGGCCGAGTCAGAGGTGAAGGTGGCCAACCTGAGGGGTGGCCCACCTGAGCCCCGTCTCGCCTACCGGCATGGCTGTTGCGGGGGTTCTCCCGGGAATGCCACGCAAGAGGGGAGCCCCCTTCCACAGCCGCGGAGGGAGAAGGCCCCGTTCCTCAGTCACCCCAAATGGCTGCCGAGAACATCTGCAAACCTACCCACCCCCGGCGGCGCCAGCAGAACAGCCAGAACCAAACCTTCCCTCACGAAACCCTGCATTTGCATCGTCCCTTCCCACTCACAAACTGGAGAGAAATCTATTTTTATGAGACTTGGGTTTGAGCCAGGAGGGGATTTGATTTTGGGGGGTGGGGGTTTTTGGGAAAACACCCTTCTGGCATTTCTTGGCTTGGACGGACTCGCCTTGTGCTGCTAACGAGAGGCCTGCCCCCACCCTCAAAGCCCCCCAAAACCTCAAAGACTCGTTTCCTTAGCCCCACCACCCCCCCAAGGAGAAAGAAGGACTTTTAAAAAATAATTTTTTTCCAGCTTATGGAAGACCACGTGATTTAAACAAAACAAAACAAGGTGGTGCTCTTTTTTTCCGTTCGTTTGTTAATGATGATGATCTAGACAGTGGAGAAACACCTCTGGTGTGTGTGACGTTGGGGGGGGTCGGGGGCGGGAGCACCCTTCCCCCAAAGGAGAGGAAGTTGGGATGCAGAGGGGGAGGCGGGATCTGGGCTGAGATGCTGTACACATTTTTAAACCTTGCAAGAAATGGGAAATGATATTGTAAATATAAAAAAAAAGAAAAAAAAAGATTTGCCGGTTGGACGTGCTTTTCTTTAAGGGGGGAAGTGGGTTGCGGGAAGGGGCATTCTGGAGAAATACGTGGTTTATTTGGGTGGACAGTGCCCCATAAACTCCCATGATTACTTACTCTGGGTTTTGGTGTGGGTCCTTTCTATCATTTTAATATCTAAAACCAGGATGTGGAAGGGTTTGGTGTTGTTGGTTTTTTTGGACTACAAATCCCAGCGTCTCCCAGCCTGCTGCCGAGATTCTGGTAGCTGTCGTCCAAGAACTCTCCCCCCTCTATTCAGCACTCGTTAGGCACCATCTTGGGTATTGTGTCCAGTCTTGGACATGGCACTTCAAGAAGGATGCTGAGAAACCGGGGGGATGCTGCCGAGATTCTGGTAGCTGTCGTCCAAGAACTCTCCCCCCTCTATTCAGCACTCGTTAGGCACCATCTTGGGTATTGTGTCCAGTCTTGGACATGGCACTTCAAGAAGGATGCTGACAAACCGGGGGGAAATTCAGAGAAGGGCGACAAGGAGGATCAGGGGGTTGAAAACCAAGCCCTCGGAGGAAAGACCGAAAGAAATGGGCCGCTTTAGCCTGGAGAAAAGAAGGCAGGAGGGTGATGGGATAACTGGCTTCGGGGGTTGAAAACCAAGCCCTGGGAGGAAACACCGAAAGAAATGGGCCGGTTTAGCCTGGAGAAAAGAAGACAGGAGGGTGATGGGATAACAGGCTTTGAATACTTGAAAGGCTGTCATATACAGTACAGAGGAGGGGCAGGACCTATTCTTCATCATCCCCAAGTACAAAACACATAATGGGATCAAGTTGCCTGTTTCTGTCGAATATCAGGAAAAACTTCCCAACTGTTAGAATAGTGCGACAACGGAAGGGATGACCTCAAGAGGTGATGAGCGCTCCAGCGCTGGAGAGGCCTTCAAGAGAAAACTGGACCACCGTGCGTCGGATCTCTGATTTGGATTCCTNGGGGGGGGGGGGTTCCGACTCAATGGCCTTTTAGGCCCCCGTCCAACCCCATTATGAACTGCTGGGTAGCTCAGTGGGCGAGGTGTTGCCAAAGGTTGGGAGTTCGATACCCCCACTGTGCCTCCTTGATAGACGCTGGATCCAATGATCGATCGGTCCCTTCCAGCTCTCCAGTTCTAAGATGATGATGAAGGTGATGTAATTATAAAAAGAAAGTGTCTACTTTTGTTCTACCTGTCTGCAGACAAGCACTCCCCCCCGAATTCCCTATCATCAATGATTGGTTTTCTGCACCCCGAGTTTTCGCTGGCCAACACTTAACACCAGCCCTTGGGCCGGCTAGCGGCTTTGGCCGTGGCCCCATAGAAGGGGCCTTCAGCATCT